AGAGGTTACTGATAATACAGGGGAAATCAGTGGCATTAGAAGACTGTAGGTCAAAAGGCCAAAACAAATTCAATTATTTAGATTTTTCAGAAAGTAAGCATGTAAAATCAAAGTGTTTCATTGTTCATGTCTGTCATCATTCCGTAAGCACGCATAAAAGTGACCAAGTGAAATACAACATTTTGGTCCTAGTCCACAATTTCCATTTAAAAACTTTGGACAGCTATTTGTTCTTCTGCTTTTGAGTATGGCATACATACAGTATGCATAAAAAATAAATACATTGTAAGCAAATAAAGTGAAATGCAAAATGTTGTTATGAATCTCCACATGAAATAATACTATGAAAACACCCATGATTGGTTGTTTGGTGACTGGTGGGAGGCATATGGACAACACATATTCAATTAGAGACCCAGCACACAATACAGTTGAGGTATTTATCAATCTTATATAGGATTGTACTTGTAAGTTTTCAAACACTGCACTGTAATGTATCAAAATGGTCATGAATGCTCATCAGGCTCTTTTTCGGTCCAATTTAAAATATTACACAGCTGGCTGGAACCCTGGCTTGAGGTTTTGTTACATTGTAACAAATCTGCATTTAGTTTGTTGCTTAGATTATGGAAACTTACAGAAATACTCAGCCCCAGAAATCCATCTGGAAAAACATCAGCAGAGGACTATGTGTAATAAGAACTTTCCTATACTTCTGCAAGTACTTGAAATGTAAGGTATTAAGCTTTTAATTCTATATTTGCATAAACTCACCCTATACAATATCTTTAAGTTAAAATATGCATACTGCTATAAAAATAACTCCCCTTCAGTATACGCAGACTTCTACAGCTGGCAAAATCACGTGTTTTAGCGAAAAGGAGTTAAGAACGTAAGTACTGAATTAAGAAAGTGAGGAAGAGCTGGTCAAGACAGGAGGGGCTCCAAAGCGATTCAATCAATATGTCATTTCTTTAGAGTACAGGTTGAACCTACACACCAGACAAGCCCAGAAATCCTTGAGCTGCATCAAGGAGCTGGCTGGGACAGAGATTCCTGAACAGGCAGTGTACAACCGGGCTACCACTCCCACTTCCCTCCACTGTCCTCTAGGAACTGCCAGACACCGTGTAAGTTTGCAGTGTCCTCAGGGAGGGCAGCATCACTTCTGCGGCCAATGCAGGCAAGAATGCACACTAGTGACAAAATAGTACAGTACAAGGCCCCCATCCTTCCCTTGACAAGAGTCACAGCACTGATCTGATTAGCAATTGGTGATCACAGATTCCTTTTTTTTAAAGGAGTTGTATCTCACAACCCTTATGACAGCTTACCTTGGTAATTGTACGGCAGGAGATTCACTTTTACGAGGGTTTTACTACGGGTTGGCTGTGGAGTTCCTGTGGTTACCTACGGCTTCACTGTGCTCCATAGTATTCCTATGATCGAGTGTACTAAATCAAAGTTAATCCATAGGAAACCACAGAAAGTCCATGATCAAGCCACAGTGAAACACTGTTAAACATTTGAACATCCTATGGTAAACATACGAGACTAAACTACCATAAGGGAAGATCTGGCTCTACAGCATTATCACAAGAAATGTGAATTCTACCCTTTCACCATTATTTCCAATTCAACCACTCTTGCATTCTGCTCTTTCTCTACTGATGGCGCAGCAAGTGACCTGCAACATTTACCATTAAATTATTTACCACAAATGACTGCCTGAAAATATTCCTTACTGCTTTGGCTTAATGATTTTCTATACCCTTGTAGATATGAAATTGATTACAACACTATGACAGTTGATAAACCATGGATTAGTCATTCTGTAACAAAGAAAAGGCTTTACATTTTTATTGCTTGATCGTGAATAGCATTAAATAACACTTTTAAAGTGTTTTTCTTTTTCAAAAGCATGTATAATTACAACTTTATTCTTGCTGTAACCATGTTTAAGCAAGCTACAGATTATACTGCCCTGAAAAACTGTTTTTATAATTATTATCAGTTGTTGTATTAGAATGACTATGTTCCTACAAGCCTTTTGTATCTTTTCAATGCCAGGAAATCTTTCTGACAGAACTAAATCAGAGACTGATGACAGATTTTTTTTTTCACATCTGTCTTAGCTTATGGTGAGGCAGTCAGATATTGTTTCAATATTGAATACACAATATAATTACATGACTATTGCACTTGTTTATTTAAAAAAAACATACAACAAACAAATGTTATAATGAACTAAAAACAAAATGTTACTCAATGTTAAAAAAATAATATTTAAAAATGAATTGTCTGTTATATGGAAGCGTTTCTGTGTTTAGCCAGGGGTGTACAGTTACGCAATTTTATTCTTATTGACAGCTAGACAACCACAGAATCAGGCAGCTTATTAACTAAGATTCAACTGAGACACGCCAACCAAATTTATTTTATTAAAATATTTTAATCTTTTGTTATAGTGGGCATATAAAACATTAGACAAAGATAATTAAGTTCCTCTAAACTATAAACCTGTTAAACTCTGAGTTTGAAAAAAGGGCATATTACACAGATTAATAATTCAATTAACCATTGACACCTTTTAAGAGTCTAAGGTTGTGATTTCTATCTGTTTAAGGTTAACCAAATAATTCAAAACCATACTCATCCTTGAGCTCCTCAAAGAATTTCTGCAGGATTTTCAAACTTTTACTGACAATCAATTAATTGTTAATAGAGGTATGCTGATATTGTTTCTCAGCTGAAAGGCCCTACGTTGGTTTTTTTTTTAATACTTAAATACAGCTTTGAGCAGTAATGTCTCTTGTATAAAAAACTGAGTTAACCCATAAAACATACACAAATAAATTCCTACAGTATTCAAGTTAAGTAATAGTGCTTGTGTGAAATAGAAAATATAGGATCAATCAAGGATTAATTTCAAATTTGAAAGGTTTGTTCTTAAACCTTGATATGATTGACACAATAAATCAATTTAAAGCAGTTTTCTTTGAAGAAACACTTACTGTACCATCGACACCTACCATAGATCCACCTTGTAATTTCATACTACTTTGCAATAGCAGCACGGATCAAAAGATTATCAAACTTTACACTGTCTTCATGTGATGTATCAGTTTTTAAGCACTTTTAACACATCTGAGGAGGTATACCAGACATTAAACTGAAAAAGAAATCATGTTAAGCTTAACCTTATCTAATGGACTTTTTACGGTCCATGAGTGTTGAAAATTTCCTGTTCAATTCTTGTCAGTCTCACAATGTTTTCTGCATGATGATCTTCATTGCTCATAACAGAAGAATGTCTGCATTTGCTTTGGATTTAGTGAGAAATCAGTTTAACTTTTTCTGTTACAAGAAATGTAATCCATAATAACTCACTTGATATTGCTTCCTAAATACTAAATTTTAGGATAGTACCTTTCAGATCACAGTACTAATACTTATTTATATTAAGCAGTAAAAAGGCATAACTAAACTCAAAGAAGGACTACAATGGTTAGTCACAAAGCTTTGTTTTAAGTGTCTTCTTAGGCTTCAGTGTTCAGGAAATTTCTTCAAATCCCATTAAAAGTAATGCTAATCACTAAATTAAGGTTAAATGAGAACTACCACTTTTATGATAGTGATTTAGTTGCAAGGATCACTGAATTTCCTGAAATACCAAGTGACTGACTTCACTTGAGAAAATGTGCATTTTGGTGTTTTTATGAATGGACATAATTGCTCTGCATATAAAGTGGTACTCTATATGCAAATCGACATTGACGAGTAGCAATTCATTACTATTATAATGTAGTAAATTATCAGAAGGCGGGTGAGATTATTGAAGACCTTAACAAAAGTCTAAGAAAAATAAACCTTAAACTAAGTTCTTGATATTCTCTGTGGTCATATACATACAGCATGCAGGGCTTGTACTGATATACTAACACAGTATACTAGTATTAGTATACTAATACCACTAGTATTGACCTGCTACAACCCAAATAGCAGATAAAAACGGATCACCTTCAGCACTGGCTCAGGAAAAATAGCTACCTGTATAATTATTATACAGAATATGAAGTCATATGAAGGGAAAAATAAATGACACCACCTTTTTGCCTTTTCAAAGATTTCCTGTTTTTGCAAATATTATTATTTGTTATAATTACGTTGTTGGGCAGAAAAAAATAACACAAAATGCCCAAGGACCAGTGAAGGATGTCACATATTTACTGAAAATGACTCTCAGTTGAGAGCATCATTACTGGGAGCTGAAACATAAAGGTACCTATCTTAGCTATAATAACATAGAGTTTGGGGGTAATTGGTCACTCAGCTGCATACATTCACAAAACAAAAAAGCAGACGCTTCACCCAACGTTATCTTTCCTTGAACAGTCTCTGTCCAGGATGTCAAAATGAACAGTGCACCAAACCGAATTCTAAATTGGCTGCTGCCACCAGCAGAGAATTACGGAGAGGCAGGGAGAGCAGGAAAGCTTTTTTGTCCCGAGGCAGTAAATGCCGCCTGTCAGCCTTTTACAAGCTGAAGTGACAGAACGGGGATGTTTCCACCCCCACTCCTTGTGGACTTGTATCCAAACTAGGATAAGGAGCAGGTGAAGTTACTTATAGAATCCCAATTATTTTTATTTGTCATTTATTTATCAAATGTGTAGATCATCTACATCAGTTCCCCAGACTGTAGGAGGAGCCCCTCAGGTGTGTAAAATGAAAATGCTAATTCAATGATAATTTTGCTCTAATTGCCAAAACCAAGTTTATGACACTAGTGGTTGTCACACAGTACTTTTCTCACTGCTTTATTGTTCAGATCAATATTGTAAGCACAATATCGCAATTACATTTTTCAAAGTAATTTTGGGGTGCCGGCCCAAAGCATTTTTTTGAAAAGGGATTACCACATCAGGAAAGACTGGTCTAGCGATGGTCACTGCCTAAAATCCCACCAAGAAACTTTAAACATAGCAAATGTGGCTTACCTCCATTCTTTCCTATTTGTCTGAAACATCTCCAGAACATTCGGATAAAGGAAGCTCTGTTGTGTGGGGTAGCTTTGACATAGCTGAACTCCCTGAAGAGGACATGGTTCCCATCTCGCACACTGTTGAAGCTGCATGAAACATAAAGCAAAGATCACTGCTGAAAGAGTCCAGGCAAGTTAAAGACTATAAAGGAGTTTCACTTTTTAATACACAGTACAGTATTTACATATAAAAAATTGTTCCTTAAAATAAAAATAGATTTATATTTGGAAACTATATTTGTGTGTATTTGCTAGATCTTTTTTTTTAGTTTTAATGACCTGTATGATGTAAGAGGTGATTCTATAAAGAGGTTTGCATAAAAAGTTTATTCTATGATGTCATGCTTGTTATTTAACTATTTGAGCCTTGAGCCTAGAAGCACAGCCTGCCAGAAGCAGCTACGTTAAATCTTATAACAAATCTCCAGCAGCTTAGAAATGCACATAATTCACTGGCATTGTGTCAAATCACATAACTCATTTTCAATAGTGTTGGCTGCTGCACATGTGCACCTTCTATTAAATTAATTTATTTTATGGAACAGGCAAACCACATTTTTTACAATCATTGCAGTTTGATTTTTGTTATGATAAGCCTTCAAACATACTGATAATTTACCAGTCTGACGTCATTCTAGTGGTCATAGCACATTTTTAAATAGCAAGACGTTTTTTTCAGTTTGCTTGTTCACAGCAAATGATCAAAATCACTTAATTTTACTAAACTTCAAAAGCACAGATAATTCCAGTACAAGCACCTATTCAGCTAAGCTGGATTGTGTATTATTGTCACCTGCAGTTGTAGCAAAGCTACTATACAAGGAGTATTTATTTTCACAGGCAGTGTTTATGAAGCACAGAGGCCACTTGCTTTCATCAGTGCAAAAGCTTTTCAACAATATTAGTATTGATTTTTCCTTAAATTATCCATTTTTATAGTGCCCACTTACTTTTATTACCCTTCACAACTAGAACAAGGAACAACAAAATCTGATTTATTTACACTTATTTCATGCTATCCATTGTGGTACAGACAATTATTTATGTTACAGACACATAATATTTCCCAAAGCATGAATTACAGAGTTATTAGTAAAAGTACTAAACTTTGTATGTAAGAGCAGAAGAGATCATTGCTATTTAAACAAAACTTGAAATACAGTGTTCATTACATACAGTAGCTGTGAATGGTAATGATTTTTAGTTTATTAGTTGCAGTTTCATATACTGTAGGCTGTGCCACCAAGTGACATTTTACTCTCAAGTATAGCACATGGAGAGAACTCAGTATGCCTTACAAGCTTTGTAACTACATAGCATTTTATACTTTTTGAATGTTACATTGTGATTCAAAATTATACTTTTATGAAAGATTAGTGAGTTTCCTAACAAATTCTCCAGAGTTTAATTAAATCTTTCCTACATGTAAGTATATTGTTTTTTTAGATGTTTCTAATATATATAATGGGACACATTCCTGCCTGTACAACGTCTTAACATTGGGGGAAGAAAATAGCATTCAGGCTTTACTGCCCAAGCTGCCAACATAATATGAACATAGTGTATAGGTTAGACTTACTACCAAAACAGAGAATTCATCTTTCAGGACACGGAACAGACATCTTGGAAGGCTGCCATATTGTTTTAGATTTCAAGAGAAGAATCAGACTTAAGAAAATCAGTGCAGAAAATCTCAACATCCAACCAATTTAAATAACCACAAAAAGAGCACGATAAAGGTGCTTGACTCAATTTGTGTTCTTAACGAAACATCTTTTATAGGGTGTCTATGGCTTCTGTGAGAACAACTGCCAGTTCCTCAAACTCTGTAACTTATCGTTTTTCTGAAGGGAATAAGATTAAGATCAATCAACAAAGAACAAGACACATTAAATTAAATGTCACTATTCAATTATGAGATTTAATTCCAAACACTTTTGTACAGTCCAAAGATGTATGATTTAGACTTTACTCTTCACAAAAATGGTCTAATTTGTTGGATTTACAGAATAAAAGGACCTAAAAGCAGACATAAGTCACAAGCAGAATTAAAGATGCAAACCTCTTGTGTTTGCTGATGTTAACTCTCTTAATATCTTAACAGAGCTGCATTAACTCGTAAGTTTACAATCCCATGTCTAAGACTGCAGATGTTTTTCATGGATTCTATATGCTACTGAGAAACACCCACACACTTTGGAAATCCCGACGCCAAAAGCCAGAGGTTTGATCAAGAGAGACCACTGCAATCAATCCCAATGGCGTGTACCCATTAAATCTGCCATCTTTTGTCACAGACAATGACAAAATACACAAGGGCTGATGGTAACCATTATCCCATATTAAGCGTGAGAGAAAGAACCACAAATAAAAGGGAAATCTTCTGTTAGAGACCTTGTAGTAAATTGACATCATATGCATTAAACTCCTGTTACTGGTTTACTGCCAGTTGAAAAGGATTCAAAACCTATTCAATTCTTGGTTACAATTGCACTGCAGTACCTATTGAAGAATTAAATAGAATTAAGCTGAAAATGCTAAGACCTGTGAATCTTTAATGAAGCACAAATTGTGCTTCTTTAAAAAACATAAACAGAAATCTATGGTCCCCAAGCAACCTGTTGAAGCCTGTGTCTATCTAATTGCAACCAGGACTCACGAAGCACCACACAATTGGCAGAGCATTGCCAGGATAAGGTGGACATTTGTCAGACAGGTTCCTCAGAACAACAGCAACTCCTGAGAACTGCTGGGCGCATGAAAGCTTAAAGTGACATCAGAGTGATGCAGTCAGCAGTGATTCTCTTTGCAGGGACAATGGAGTTAGCAGTGTGAAAAAGGTGAAATACTCTGACCGGAGGGTTTATCCAAATTCAAATCCTCACTAGACCTGTGTGAGTAGGGGAGCCGCTGCCAGAGACTTGAGCCTTCCAACAACAGACAATTACAGAGTGAGCAGCCGAAAGGCTCAGATCACTGACAAGCACAATGGATGGGTAAAACTGTATGTTCATTCCTGAATAGAGCGAAACACATACAGTATGTTGCCGCTGGCTAAGGGTTAGAATGTACTGGATGCGCATTCTCTCAGCATTGACCCTGGGCCTCTTTTAGAAAGAAAATTTACAGCATTTTCTGGACATACAGACAGGTTTACTGCTTTTAAAAAGGGGTTTCCATAGAAAATCTATAAAGCTCCTTTTATCACTTCATAATTTCATGCCTCATGAGATACTCAGTCACACTAAAGACACTTTTACTGTAGAAATGAGATTATTAATTTGCATTCTGCTGTTCATTGCAGGATTTTACAAGGAACTGTATTTTATTAGCTAGAAGGTAGTCTAAACTGGAGTTGCTCGATGGTATAAATCTTGCAACATTTTAAGTACATTCTTCACATTGGGTATAGAATTTAATGTCAAAACAAATCAACAATATCTAAGTTGGCCCCTAGATGAAAAGATTCCTAAAAGTACCATAACAGAGTTTATACAAATCTGGAAAACCAGGCTCAGATTTTTGAGTTGATGTGACCCAGTTTGACTTAAAGAACATTAATCTGCTTCCTTATGCAAGTTGTGTTTTCTTTTTAAGATACTTGGTATGGCTTTTTGCCATATTCTACCAAGGAAATTTCATTGCCCTGACTACATACTGTATTATCTACTACATTATGATGAGCCCTGAACAAGACATAGGTGTCCACTGGTAGAATTTTTTTAAGTTGTGTTTAACAGTCAATTGCAGTCTATTGAACCTACATCGTAGAGAGAAAACAATTATGATTTTCAGGCTATGCTTAATACTCCTAATCCAAACAATGCAGACTTTGTTATGACAGGCATTAATGAATTGTCATCTATAATTTCTTTACACATATTACCCCATTTACAAACAAGAAAGACAATTTTACAAAAAACACTGTTGCCATGCTCAATCCACATGGTTAAAACTAGAATTCTCTCATACAAGTGGTTTCCAAAAGAGTTCCCAAGCAACACAAGTCCAAAACCCAATAACATAGCTCATTTGTTCCAGTGTCATTGGTAGTAATGACCTTGTTTTTTTAGTTGTTTTGTTTTTTTCTCTTTTTTTCCCCAATACTGATGCATAATGAAAAAAAGTAGCTACCCCCACACTTTTGATCAAAAGCATACAGCGGCATGCAGTAACTTAATCCCCCATATAATGAGGGGCTCTTGAGACCCTCCTCAAGGGCTGTACCTCCAGACCAGACAATACCTTTCAGAGAGCCTACATGATATGGATATAAATACCCAGACTCTTTGTGCTGTGGAATTTTCTTTGTGCTACAACAAGACTCTTGGTTAAATAAGGTGAGAGTCCTATAAAGGAACAAGCATATAAGGCACGTAGAGGTTAAAATACCACAGAGCAAGCACATCCCAAAGCACCCCAAAAAATAATCATGAACCAAATGATTCTGCAGTACAAAAACACTTAAAATGCTGCGTAGATAGTGTCACTGCATGTTTAAAGCTTTTATTTTATTTGCATATCAAGATATAAAATGGATTTATATAGCACACATTCATGTTGTGATCTAATTCAAAAGAAGAAGGGCTTTTATTTTTACCATCTTCATTGATATATCATAAATAATGCAAGAACAGTATGACTGTAGACTTCTGAATAGTATTTACGACAAACAAACAAATTAATAATTTATGTTTCAAATATGTTGTTGGAATATATTCCAATGACATCTAAAGTATAAATGTCTTCAGACAGTTCTTAAAGTTTAAAATAGAAAGGAAATGTGTAATACTGTAGACATTGTGCAATACTGGATTTTTAAAGTTCTAAGTTCATTCTACAATTTAATTCAGTATTGTTCTACGTTTGGTCCTAGCATTGTGAAATGGTCAGGTCTATTAAATATTCACTATCCCATAATTTAGAGCTATTTCTCCTTTCTCCTCGAGAAATGAGCAACATACATATAAATGCATTTCATGAGCTGACTATGTAATATGTTCGCTTTTATAAGGTTAAAACAGCGATCTGTGGCTTCTTACTATGCTAATTTTACTGTATAAGTGGAGGGGAATATAAACACAAAT